TCTTTTCTTGTTCTCGACTTTTGGACTTTTCCCCCTCACTTTCTCTTTCGGCGGTCCATGTCCTCCTCCTCCTCGGTTTGTGTGCACTGTATTCTCCTCTGTTTGCCTTCATCCTCCTCCTTACATCTTCTTCTTGCCCTTACCTAGGATTCTCTTTTCTGATGTCCACTTCTTCAGTCATTCTTTTTCACAGTAAACTAACCGTCTGATGTCACAAAAAAACGTTGTTTGCGTAGGGCCAGGGGCTGACCACTGTTCCGCCCTGCAGGGACTGTTCTGGCAGCAACATGTGCTGAGCGGACCGTTTCGATTTTGGCTTTGCTCTCCTCGCATCATCATCATCATCACAACCACGATTTCGCCGGTCCTCTTCCCTCTTAAATTCACCCATCACCACCAGCATGGCACCTCATCGCCCCTTATCTGATCTTTGCATTATCGCCGTGGTGAAGCAGCTGAAACCAGCCGACCAGCTGAAGGCCTCCCGAATGAGCCCTCGTTGCTCCCGGCTGGTGCGAGCCGCCAATCGTCGAGTCCGCTCACTGGTCATTACCAATTTCTTTAATTGTAAGATCGCTCAACCTAACTTTCGCTGGAGCTACTTCCCTCCGTCGCCCAGCATGCAGCAGTGGATCGAGGATGTTGAACACAAAGACAGCGGCAAAATAGTCAACTATCACCAGAGAAAGGAAATTCATATCACCGTGTGGAACAGTTTGCAGTTGAACGAGAGCTGCGAGATCATTCTACCTACTGTTGAGGAGGTGGTCACCGTTCTCTTCTCTGCTATCACCAATCTAACGTATATCGAGTGTGACTCAGGCGAAAACAAGTTTGAGTACCTGATCGCCCTACTGCAGCACCCCCAGTGGGTCAGTCAGCTGGGCTTCTTCACTTCAGTTGTAGTAGTGTCAGAGTGTTCCTTTTTGAAAAAATTCTACTTTTGTCTTTCTGTGCAACGTGTTCTCATTGGCTATAAACGGCTTTACTTTTACAAACTTTCTTCTCTCATTTCAAGAACCTAGTTTTTTATCATTGCCAGTTTTGCTCGCGCTGCGTTGTGTTCTACTTCTGTGATTTTGTTTTCTACTGTGTTCAGACTTGGAAATTGTCGTTCTCTCTCATCTCAAAAGTTCCCGTCCTCAAGTCCCCCAGTACCATGTCGGATCTCCGTCTGAGCAAGGGCGCTATCAATGCGATCCTGAATGGGGGCGTCAAGTCGGCGGACGCCAGTGACCCTGCCTTCCAGTCGCCGCTGATGCAGCTGCTCGCTGTGAAGTCGATGCCGGAAGGTCGTCGGCGGGCGATCCTCTACGACGGCTTCACCGTCACCCAGAACTGCATCATCATGCACGACGACGCAGAGAGCCTCGACAAGTTCACGGTGATTCGCGTGCGGGACTTTAGTCTTAGCACATGCACTATGCCCGCGGAGAACGTGACCGTGCTGATTATCAACAAGATGGACCTGGTCAGAAATGGTGAGTAGTGCTTCTTTTTTGCTGGGGAGGAGGAGTTGCTCTAAAAGTTGTTCTGTAATGATGTTGCTTTCATTTGCAGGCAAAGAGATCAATGACAGGCTCGGGGGCACTGACTGGGCCTATCTGAGTCGACAAAGTGGTGGTGGTGGCGGCGGCGACGCACTGGCCGCTGCTTTCTCTCCGGTGAAGAAAGATGAGCCGGCCGTTGCTGCCTCTGGTGGAAGCTTTTCAGCTACCGTCTCGCGCCCGCCGTTGATCGTGACCAAGTCAGCGACGACCTCTACGACGGCCTCACCTTCCAACAGCACTTCAACAAGCAAAGCGGCCCCAGGCGTCTTCCCCACCACCAACACCCTCAAGCACAAACAAGTGGCCCCGATCAACGTCATCACGCCCTTCTACACCAGCTGGGTGATTCGCGTCCGCGTCACCAGCAAGACGCCCCTGAAGACGTACAACAGAAAACTTAACTGTGAAACTTACCACAGGGTAATGTCCAACTATGTTGACCCCACAGGTCAGCCTGACGGTGGATATGGTGCAAGTCGATTTCACATTGGCTCACCCAGTCTTTACCGCCATCAACAGTCTCACTGCTCTGCAGCACTTGGCCATCATGGGGAGCAGGGACAACCAGATTCCCGACCTGCCCATACTGGCCCGACTGAAGGTGATAAGCATGTACAGGGGCCATTTGCCTTCCTTGCTCGCCTCCCTCGAGCGCCATGCACCCGGCAATGCTGATCTTCAGATGCACTTTGAGACTAAGAATGATAAAGATGAAGATGCACTGATTGCTCTCAGTGAGCCTCTCCGCAGTCGAATCGTTCACTTGGACGTGCTAAGTTTCAAAAACTTAATGCGTTTTCTAGGTGGTCAGCAGTTTTCATCGCTCACTTCTCTGGACGCGATGGGTTTCTCCAGTTTGAGCCCACCTCAAATGAGAACTCTGTTCCCCGCCATCTCTCAACTACCACAGCTGGTCCACCTTAGGTTAAATGTCGATTTAAGTAATTTGGATGCCGTTTCACCTCGTCTACTAACTCAGCTGAACTCAGTACGAGCACTGGATCTACTTTTGAGAACCTCATCTCACGCACAGGTGGAGTGGCTCAATCTCCATTGGACACTGCCTCACTGCCAGGCCATCTACCTTGAGTGGAACTTTTGTCACAGCTGTGGAATCGGTTTGGCTCACTACTCTAATGAGTTGTCCTCTACAAATGAACTTGCCATTGTGCGATGTTTGCGTGCAATTTTTTCCAAGCTGCATGCAGGCGTGTGCCGGCCAATCGAATCGCTTTGAGTTTGACCAGCAAACAGTACCGCACTGCTGAGGACATCTTTGCTAGCTGCCAGTGATTTGTGGCCAAATTTGCTTTGCACACACTCACATATTGATGTCTCACAATCTTTCTAAATCTAATCTGTACCCTTGGTTGGACATTTGTAATCTCTCTCTCTCTCTCTCTTTCCTTTCTTTGATTGCTGTAATTTTTTTTAAAATATCTAACTGAATATATATTGAATACTGTTCTTCGAATAAATCACACTTTGAAGTTTTCAATTTGAGAGAAGGTGGTCACCGCCAGGCAGATGTCGCCAAAGTCGTACTGTTGTTGCTGTTGTTTCGAAAACACAAATCACATGTGATGACAATCTTACCCGTTTTGGAATCTCCTTCCTCCTCTCCTCTTCATTGCTGATAGCATTTCAGCAGTATTTCACCTCTGGTAAGCAGTGTTGGCCTGACATCGGTCGTCTCCTTCCTCTCCTCAGTATCCCTTCATTTGAAGGCGCTCTTCTTTTACTTCTGCTGCTGCTGCTGCTCATGCTGTTGATGATACCGATGATGCTGGTGGATGATACGACCAGTAGCAAGACTTATCACAATCTTTTCACTCCTGCATCTAAGTAAACACCAGCAATGGTGTCAGCAGCAGCAGCAGAAGAAAAAGAGAAAGGTGGTGGTAGCACCGAGCTTATCAGCTCGCTCGCTTTCCTTCTGTGTCTTATATTGCACTACATTATGTTATGACTGACCGAATAAGGCACACTATGTGTTATTCACAATACCAATTGCCTTTCTTTATCATCCCATGTTGTACACCAGAGCGCAAAACCTCTTCTCGGTGCGAACCGGCAGGCAGGCAGGCTCCACATCAGTTTCTAAAGCAGACCACCACCACAGGCATTGCCTCATCCTAGTCACCGCTTTGGAAGTTACCACCAGCTGAATCACTGAAGACACACCTCATCACCATGCTGCTGAAGACTGCCTTCTCTCGGGTCCTCTCAGTCAGGGCATCGCCGGCTCTCCGGTCCGCCTGTGCCTCTCATCACCATCCGTCGACCCGCTTCCTTCCCAGCCTAAGCATCTGTGTACAGAGAAGACTTCTCTCCGGTAGGTGATCCTGTTTTGTTATGATGTTAAATCGAAACGCTAACTCCACTTATGTTCTATTTTCTAACTCTGCAGACATTCGCTTCAGCGAGAAGCACGAGTGGATCAGACTGGACGCCGCCGACCAGACCGTCGGCACGGTGGGCATCTCCGAGTACGCGCAGGAGGCGCTGGGCGACGTCGTCTACGTCCAGGGCCCGGAGATTGGCGCCGAGGTGGGCAAGGATGGTAAGGACGGCGATTCGCAGAAATAGAAACTCACTTAACTAAACTATTCTTTCTACTTCTACCGCTAATTTCAGACGAGGTGGGCGCCGTGGAGAGCGTCAAGGCGGCGAATGAGATCTACACGCCCGTCTCCGGGACGATACTGGAGGTGAACGGCGCCCTCGAGGAGAAGCCCGGCCTGGTGAACAGCAGCTGCTACGCCGACGGCTGGCTCTTCAAGATCAAGGTCAGGGACCAGGCGGAGGTGAGCGGGCTGATGGATGAGAAGGCCTACGAGGCCTTCCTCAAGTCTGTCCAGGAGTAGAAGAAGGTAGAAGAGCTTAATTTCTCGATGTACGGTAATTTCGTCCAATTAAAAGTTTAGCTTTTTACTCTCTTTCTCAGGTAAACTCTCTAGGTAATAAATAGAAGTGTGTGTGTTTGTGTGGAGTGTAGAAGTAGTGGTCATTTGCTGATGATGGTGAAGAAGAAGCTGTGTATAGGACCAAAAATGGGCATTGTGTATACAAAATATAGACTAGATCGAGGCGAATTCGGGGGCCACCTCTGCACAGTCCAGCTGCTGCTCAGGCGTTGTTGGCATTGAGGATGGTAATGAGCATGTACTCCTTATCTGCAACAAAGACAACAACAACAAAGGGCGTCATTAGGGATGGTCATCGTTATCAGCACCCCCATCACCACCACCACCACCAGCACTTACCAGGCACCACGATAAACTCATTCTTCTTGGTCTTCATCCTGAGGAACTGCAGCTCGCCATTCTCCGTCATCGCCTTGTTCGCCGACTCGACGATGTTCGCCACGCTCAGGCCGTAGTTCTGGATGCTGTCCACCACCTCGTTGATGGTGCTCTTGATGATGATGCCCTCCCGGTCGACGATCAGCACGCCGACCACATTCTTGAAGGTGCCGTCGATGTTCCGCAGTATCTCGTCGATCTCGATCTACAACAACAGCATCCACATTAGAACACTCTACAAAGTATCTCGTTAAGGGTTTAAACTGCGTACCATGGCGCCGGCGAAGATGGTTAGGTGGCTACTACTCCCCCTGCAGCACTAGGATGACTCTTCAAGAGAGTGGTGATGTTGTTGCTACTTTGATGCCTTCTTTGATCAGATTAGCAGTGGCTTTTTAGTTGTTGCTTCTACTGGTAATGTTTTGATCTTCTGCTAACCATCATCATTATCTTCTTCTTCTTCAACTCAACAAAATTTTTTTGTTGCCAACACAACTCGTGATCAGCTGTGGAGAGCCTGTCGCAGATGACGACTGCACAGTTGCACTGCTGCACTGTAGCGCATTCACTTCGAAATCGGTGGCCACCGCACTTTGAAAATTCACGTGAAAATCGCGCGTTCCCCAATCTCAAAGACCATCGCTTTTTTCTATTTTTCTTTTTCNGCAGATGACGACTGCACAGTTGCACTGCTGCACTGTAGCGCATTCACTTCGAAATCGGTGGCCACCGCGGCACTTTGAAAATTCACGTGAAAATTGCGCGTTCCCCAATCTCAAAGACCATCGCTTTTTTCTATTTTTCTTTTTCCTCATTTTTTTTCTTCTTCTTTTTTCTGTTGTTGCTGTGCGCTTCATTCTCGCCTTCAGAAGATTTTCCTTCCTCTTCGAACTCCTGTGTGTCCTTGAATGCCTAGATGATCTAACGCATCTATCGCTGTTNCCTCATTTCTTTTCTTTTTCTTCTTCTTCTTTCTGTTGTTGCTGTGCGCTTCATTCTCGCCTTCAGAAGATTTTCCTTCCTCTTCGAACTCCTGTGTGTCCTTGAATGCCTAGATGATCTAACGCATCTATCGCTGTTACATAAGCGGCCGAACAGCCTTCAGCTTATTATGATTTCAGATGGCACTGCCAAGTATTATCTAATAAGTATATCGACTTTAAGTGCTTCAAGACTTCAAGTTGTGTGCTCTGCCTCATCCATGGTCTCGTCCTCGATTTGCGATTCACGGTGTGAAGTTCCACTGAATTTTGATGCTTCTTTATCTTCATTTTTTCATGATCACTTCATCACTTCTTTTACTTCTTCTTCTTCTTCATCTTCTCACAAACATTGCGCTCGGACTCACGTACCACAAGGAGCGTTTAGGACCTAAAGGACACTTTCTTAGTTGATAGGTAAGTTTGACACAGCTGAAAGGAGAGAGGAAAATCGAGAGAAGAGCAACAGTTGGAGTAGTTTACTGATCAAAAGTTAAAAATTTCTTTTTCTCCAAAGCAGAGAGATGATATTGGCGGAGGAGGAGGAGGAGATCATTAGCGGATTATGCAAGAACACGAACGGCAAACGTTTGAAGTAGAAAGTTACAGCAAAACTGTCCTCTCTTCTCTTTCTCTCTCAACTTGCCGCAGCACACCTTGGGGCCATGAAAAATGTCACCGCTGCTGCTGCCATGAGAAAAACTGGTTTGCAGTCACTTTCATCATCGCCATCATCGTCGCTGATTACGGGACCGATTGCGCCCCCGAAACAGCAACAGCAGTTTCAACTTTCTCCCCGCTCGCGCGTCTCCAGCGGCCAACGTCGATGATTTTTATATCCTGCTCTCCTTTTTTGGCGCCTCAGAGCGCCTCCTGATACTTTGATGGTCACCTGGTGATATCAGCGCAGTAGTGGTGGTCTGCAGTCTTCGGAAAAGATTTCTGTCCTGTTCCTGCCATCACCGCCATCACCATCACACTCGACACTTGACCACTGATCTGCACTGAGCTGAACTTGCACTTTAGAGCAGCAGCAACAGCAGCAGCAAGAGAAGCACTTTGGCCAGAGGAGATGGCGTCAAGTAAAATGGACATCGTTCTCCGCCGCCTGTCTCACCAGTCGCAGGTGGCCCTGCAGAGCCGGCCTAAACCTGTCGTCGTCCACCGTCCACCGTCGACCACCACCACCAACAAGTAAGTCACACGACATATTTCTCTCTTTTAAGTCTTGTCTCTGTATTTCTCCACTTTCGATCTCTCACCTTTCATCTTTCCATTTCTGACTAACATTTTCCCTCTCTCTCCCCCTCTCTAGCCACTGGCAAAAGATCGCCCTTGCCCCGCGCGATCCGATCATCTCCATCAGTCAGCTGTACAAGGAGGATCCGAATCCGGCGAAGATCAACCTCTCCATCGGCACCTACCGAACCGAGGACAGCCAGTCCTTTGTCTTCTCCAGCGTGCGGCAGGCGGCCGAGTCGGCCCACCAGGCGGTGCAGCGCCTGGAGCGGGAGTACTCGCCCATGGAGGGCTACGAGGAGTTCAATCGGCAGGCCTTTCGCCTGCTCTTTGGCCAGTCGGCGGTCAGTGATAAGACGGTAAGGTTTTATTGATAAACCCTTTGTATTCTTTTTAACCCTAACAAATTCCATTCCCCCAGAGCGTCACCGTGCAGACGCTGGCCGGCACCGGGGCCATCGACCTGGGCGCCGCCTTTCTCGGCAAGTTCTTCGAGGGTCGCCGGCAGGTGTTCATCTCCCGGCCCAGCTGGATCAACTACTACTGCATCTTCAGCAACTACCGCTTCGAGGTGGCCACCTACCGCTACTACGACGCAGCGACGAAGCGCTTCGACGCCGGCGGCTTCTTCGACGACCTGGCGAAGCTGCCCGAGCACTCCGTGGTGATGTTCCAGCCCTGTGGGCACAATCCCGCCTCGGTGCAGCCTTCGGTAAGTGATAACCAATTTTTTCATACTTTGTTGTTCTTAATTTTCATTACCACCCTTTCCAGCCCGACGACTGGCAAGTCATTTCGGCGATTGTACGCGAGAAGAAGATGCTGCCCTTCTTCGACACCGCCTACCACGGCCTCTGCTCCCCCGGCGCGGACATGGCCGCCGACCTCTACCCGGTGCGCCTTTTCGCCGAACAGGGCCACCTGATGCTCGTCTCGCAGTCCTTCAGCAAGAACATGAGCCTCT